CTTCATGCCTCGCCACCAGAACGACCCTTTCAGGTCGTGATACATCTTCGTGCTCCAAGGATGGGCCAGGTAGGGTGCGGTATGTGCCTCCGATAAAATCTCCTTCCGCAACGCCTCGACCTTCGGGACCACGATCTTGCCTCTAAACTCTAAGGCACCATCGGCACCTAACTGAAAATCTTTGACGCCTCCGGCGCGAACCTTGGCCTCCATGACACGAACAAACTCGTCAGAAGCCTGCTCTCGCCGGATTCTCTCTCTCAGTGTCGGCTGAAGCTGCATAGCACTGATACTGGCACTGGTACTCCCCGAAACGGCTATGGGAAGTGCATCGATCGCCTGAAGCTGCATCCGGGCAAACTCGTGAATCAACGAACTCTGCTGAGTAATGACGTACGTCAAATCACCCTTCACCTTTCGGCTAAGGGCGTCCGCGACGACGTTCGCCTTTCCCGGATGATACTGAATAGAGCAGTCGTAATCCTTGACAAGTTCAAGCCAACGGCGCTGCCTCATATTAAGCTCTTTCTGCGTGAAGATGTACTGCAGGCTCTTATGATCTGTGAAAATCTCGCAACGTCCGCCGTAAAGATAGTGTCGCCAGATCTTGAGAGCATGTACGACTGCTGCTATCTCCAAGTCGTGCGTCGGATAGTTCTGCTCATGAGGCTTAAGCTGACATGAAGCATACGCGATGACCTGGCCGTCCTGCATAAGGACACATCCCAAGCCCTGTCTCGAAGCATCGCTGAAGATAGTGAAACTCCGAAAAGGATCGGGAATAGTCAACACCGGTGCTGAAGTTAACCTCCTCTTGAGCTCCTGAAAGCTCGCCTCACATCGATCAGTCCACTCGAACTTCACAGACTTCCTCGTCAGCTGGGATAGAGGGAGGGCGATCTTGGAAAAGCCCTCGATGAACCTGCGATAGTAACCAGCTAAACCGAGAAAACAGCGAATCTCGGATGGACTCCTCGGTGTCGACCAGTTCTGAACGGCTGAGACCTTGGAAGGATCCACCTCGATACCTGCCTAAGTAATCACATGACCCAAAAAGGATACTCGCTGGAGCCAGAACTCGCATTTGGAGGATTTTGCAAACAACTTTTCTCGTCTGAGGGTTTCGAGAACCACCCTCAGATGCTCC